TATGGAGCTGAGCCACAGGGCGATGGACAGTGAGGGTCTCCAGGAGGCTGTGTGGAGAAGGATATTCTAAGCAAAGGAACAGCATTAAAGAACACGTTATAACAACACCAACATCAACGCACATTTGGCAGTGAGTAGTTGAGCTTGGTACATAGTTCAGCTTCGGGTCTAAGCCTGTGGGAGTAGCTACAAATGAAACTTGTTTTAGGAGGCCTGTTGAATTCATTATAAGGGGGTTAACTTTATTTGCTGAAACATGGGTAATTACCCAAGTGCAGGCTTGATTTTTAGCCTAAAGAGCAGTACCAAAAGCGCACTTGGGAGGTGATTGGGACAGCTGGGAGAAGAGCTGCTGCAGGTGATGAGAACAGTGACGGGGCAGTGACCAGCAGGCTGAAGGGGGTGAGGCCCTGGGGAAGAAGTCAGGCACTAAAAAGGGAGGGGCTGGGATGCACCCAGGGCCCCATCCACATCATCATCCGCATAAAGAAGCCCACCAGGAGAGGTGGGTTTTACATTCTGTCCAAACACATCAACACTGGGATTCTTAGGATATATCCAGGTGAGCCAAAGAGGAAGGGTGAGAGGAGAAAGGCAGCTTTCAGTCACCAGCAGACGAGCTGTTCCAACTTATTTACGAAGAGAAAATGACACTTTTAAAAATGGAAGATGGTGGCCGGGTGCAGTGGCAGCTCACGCCTGTAATCCCAGCGCTGTGGAAGTCTGAGGCAGGCAGATTGCGTGAGGCCAGGAGTTTGAGACCAGCCTGGCCAGCATGACAAAACCTCCTCTCTACTACAAGTACAAAAACTATCCAGGCATGGTCGTGCAAGTCTGTAGTCCCAGCTACTCAGGAGGCTGGCGCGGGAGAATTGTTTGAACCTGGGAGGCAGAGGTTTCAGGGAGCCAAGATCGGGGCACTGCACTCCTGCCTGGGCCACAGAGCAAGAGACTCTGTCTCCAAAAAAAAAAAAAAGGAAGATGAATCCAAATCCTATCCTAAGAAATGAAATCCGATGTGAGCCCTGAGCAGAGCATGGAGCCATAGCTCCGACACCCAGGAAAGGAGGCACCACTCCCTTCCCTCCAGGGCTCCGGAAGAGCCTGCAGATGAATCTCTGTGTTTCTAAACATTAAAAGGAGAAGACAAGGGTGGGTGACGTTTTGTTAGGTTCAAATTTGGGCTCTACAGCAGGGATCCCAGTACAGACAAAGGTGAAAGTCGGGCTCTAAGATCACAGAGCTCCTTCCCTGTGCCAAGCATTGTACAGAGCTCGTTATCACTTTCAGTTTTCGCAGCCGATGACGCAGGCATTTCTGCCCCAAAATACAGACAAGGAAACCAAGGCCCTAGACACTGAGCCCATATGGCATCGCCTCTTTCTTCTCTCCCTCGGCTACCTCCGGGAGAAGTGGCCATTCAGATCCTTCTCCAAATAGTCATTCTGTAGAGAATCTCCACTCTGGGGGATGCAGCAAGTACTGGCTTTCCATTCTATATTGTAAGCTGAAAAGGGGAGTTTTAAATACTGAGGAAGTCCTAATTCCACTGCTCCTAGAGTTCTAGTGCTTAGTTGGTGGGTAGGGAAATGTTCCCTTGTTTTCATCAAGCCTGAAAAGTAGCGAGAAGTAAGCAGCATAAAGGTCCCAGCCACGCATTAAGACGCTGCCGTGAGAACAGGGTGCCTCGGGGGGCCCTGGACTCCGGGAATCTAGGCCCTGCTGTCCTGGGGATGGGAGGGAGGCCCTGGGCTATGGCAGGTGGAAGACAGGACCCCGCGGGGTGCAGGCGCTGAGCTGCTCACCGAGTGTGTTGGGGCTCGTAAAGACCACGCCCCTCCATGTGCAGGCTTCTCACAGGTGCCTGGCCAGCACCCTGGAAGAGACCACAGGGCCTCCTCTCACAGGGCCTCCTCTTACTAACAGACATGGCTTTCAGATAAGTGCTCCTGATCCCCAGAGCAGGCATTTAAGGAGTCTAGACCAGCCCCAGAGTCAAGGCCAAGGCTTCCTGGAGGGTATCGCATTGTCAGAGCCAAATCTTGTTGTTGTTGCAGATTTTTTCTGTTTGGTTTAGTTCTGCTCTCAGCCCAGGCCTCCATGGTCGCCCAGAGCTGTCCCTGGCTCGTAAGTCCATGGGGAGTGACTCAGGGACAGGGCAGGGAGCAGGGCCTGAGGGAGTCTGGCCTCTGTGGTGGGGTCAGGGGCTTGGCTTCCCCTACATCAGTCCTGTATCTTGGGAGATGGGATCCTGGATAGGACACCATAATTATCCCTAGGAAGGACATCATAATTCTCCCTGGGTGGGACATTATAGTAATTCTCCCTGGGTAGAATACCGTAATTCTCCCTGGGTAGGATACCGTAATTCTCCCTGGGTAGAATACCGTAATTCTCCCTGGGTGGGACATTATAGTAATTCTCCCTGGGTAGAATACCGTAATTCTCCCTGGGTAGGATACCGTAATTCTCCCTGGGTAGGATACCGTAATTCTCCCTGGGTAGGATACCGTAATTCTCCCTGGGTAGAATACCGTAATTCTCCCTGGGTAGGATACCGTAATTCTCCCTGGGTAGGATACTGTAATTCTCCCTGGGTAGGATACCGTAATTCTCCCTGGGTAGGATACCGTAATTCTCCCTGGGTAGGATACCGTAATTCTCCCTGGGTACAGACATTGTAGTAATTCTTCATGGGTAGGACGTTATAGTAATTCTCCCTGGGTAGGACATGATAATTCTCCCTGGGTAGGACACCGTAATTGTCTCTGGGTAGGACACTGTAATTCTCCTTGGGTAGAATACCGTAATTCTCCCTGGGCAGGACGCGGTAGTATTTCTCTCTGGGTAGTATACCATAATCGTCCCCTTGGTTCCTCTTTCCTTCATTCATGTGTTGATTCACCTGCTCTGTGCAAGGCGTTGGGCTAGGAACTGGGGTACCGCAGATGAACACTCACGTGGTTTATACTCCCAGGAACCCCGTCTCAGAGGAGCCTGTAGAGGAGAGAACTGTGTGAGCCCTGCAGCGGCCACGCTGTGAGGACAGCCAGGCCCAGGCCTCTTGCAGGATGCAGAGGCAGGCAGAGGCCATGCAGCTGGGAGCGAGCCACAGACAAGGCAGGGACATCGGTCAGCCTAGAGGATGTCAGCAAGGCTTGCAGGGAGAGCCCAGCGAGGACAGAGGGGCTGTGGCCGGAGAGGGGCCTGCGTGGCAGCGGGGCCAGGCCTCGAGGAGCCAAGGAGCCATGTGGAGGAAACTGGGCCACCCACCGAGGAAATGAAGAGCCCTGGGTGACGCTAAAGAGCTGGCCTGGAGGCGATCCCAGCCCGGACCGGCCTGTTCTAGCAGCGCCTGGAAGAGAAGGTGGACGGACAGACACACAAGGAGAGGCCTTGGGTGTGACATCATCCATGGAAACTTCGGGAAGCAAAACCCAGCACAAGGGCGAGGACACACTCAGTCTGCTGGCCGGGGGCTTTGGGTTGGTGATGTGGGCAATGAGTCTAATTATGGGACATCCAAGCAGTTGTGCAGCGGTCAGCGGGGTGCAGGAGTGGCCCTGAAGTCACCCCACACTGGCCACAGAGCCCCAGTGACCTACAGGACGGTCGGGAGCCAGAGGCTGGGGCAGGCGCAGAGGAGGCTGGGGCGGAGCAGGGAAAGGTCAGGAAAGCACAGGTGGGCCCCTCCTCCCAGATTCCCTCCTGTAAGAGGGCAGAGCAGGCGTCCCCAGACTTTTTACACAGAGGGCCAGTTCACTGTCCCTCAGACCGTTGGAGGGCCGCCACAGACTGTGCTCCTCTCACTGACCACCAGTGAAAGAGGTGCCCCTTCCTGAAGTGCGGCGGGGCGCCGGATAAATGGCCTCAGGGGGCTACCTGGGGCAGAGAGAAGAAAGGCCCCTGCAGGCGGCGAGCTCAGGCACCCTGGCCTCACCTCTGGTTTCTTCCTCTTTCCTCTTCCTGTGAAAGAGATGGGGAAGGAGCAGAGAGACTCCCTGAGGGCACCAGGAGGTGGGGCAGTGGAGGGGCTGGGAGTAAAGGCACTGTGGGGCCTGACAACCCCTTTCCTGCCCAGACCCAAACCCAAACCCTCGGACACCTGCCTGTGCTCGGGTGCTGCCCCCACCTGAAGCGGGAGGCCAGACGGAGCCTCCCTCTAGGGGAGTGAGCTCTTCCTCCTGGGAATCCGCATGTTTCCAAGAATCAGAACTGACCAGAAAAACTACCCCCGAGCTCAGGAAAGGCAGGGAGAACAGTGGCCTCCCACCTGGACCCACCCGTGGCCGGCACCAGGGCTGTCACTTCCACAGGACCCAGTGGCACTGCAGGAGATTTCCCAATTTCGGGTTCTTCATTTCTTTTCCAAAATTCCCATTTATTTTGTATAGTCTTGTGTGTGGTGTGTATGTGTGTGCACTTTTCTGTTCCAGCTCAAAAAATTCCTCTAGAAACATGCCCAAAGCCTCTGTGCCCAAAAGGTTGAAAATGAAATAAAACAAGCATGTCCAGCTCTCAGTCCACCCCCGGCAGCACGACCCGAAGTCTGGAATAAGTGGCTGTCTCCCAGCCCCGACCTGCGATGGAAGTGCCTGGGAAGCTGCTGGAGAGACAGAGTCACCCAGGACGAGGCTGGAGGCTGTTTCCTTTGCCATGTTCACCGTGCATGCGTCCATGTGCTCCTGCCCGCTCTCAACAAAACCTCCCCCAGCATCTTCCCTGGTGACTCCGACTGCTTCTGCCCCTTCTGGGGGACCAGGTTCTCTCCGGTTCACGACTTCCCAGCCCGCCCCGGTCTCCTACATGTCTCGTAAGGGGACTGATGGTGCCTCAAGCCTCGGAGAGAACTCAGGAAAAGAATGCTCCTCCCTGAATTTTCACTTGGTTCCCGGAAGCACAGGTTTCTGGGGAGAATCGGGTCACAGCCTCGTCGATTGTTAAGAAGGTAGCTGGAATCAACAGTGTGGGGTGCTTTCTGAAACGTGTTTCTCATTTAGCCTTTCAGGTTGCCCGAGAGCAAAGAAAAGCGGTATCAGGATAGCACAGAGCAAAGAAGATAAGGAAGATCAAGAGCCCATCAGGTAAGAGCTGAGGGCCACAGCAGGGCTGCCGCGTGGGGACACAGCATTCAAGCACAGCAAGGGCACATCAATCAGAAAAAGAGACAGTGGGTCTTAGTGGGCACTCTTTGAGATTTCAAATGCAAGGTCAGATAACTGACACCCAAACCAAAGCACATCTGCTGGTTGGCTGAAAAGTTACAGGGGCTGTCCAGCAATAAGCTGATATCCATCCGTCTGAGGTTCCTTGGAACCCAAATCCCAACCCCAAAAACAACTACCCTCTCCTCTTGGTGGGAAAAGCAGCTGAATTCTTGGGAATGGCAGATTGGTGAATGCTCCTGAAGGTACTGAATACCCCACCACAAATGGATTGTCACTGGTACTCTGGCCTGTAAAAAAGTTTAGTTTAACCTTGTCTTGCTCTAAGGCAGAGCTTGGGGCCACAGCAGACACTGGGCTTGGGGTCTGTGACAACTACCGGCTGCCCAAGGGGGTGTTTGTCCCCATCCCATGCCAGCCATGCCTGGACCTCAAACCCCACACAGTAAGCAACGTCACTCCACATCTTCAGAAAAAAATTTTAATTAAAATAAAAATAAAGCATATTTAAATAAATTAAGATTTGTCAAAATACATAGGTAATGCAAACTCTGGGGAAGGCGAACTTTCCTGTTAATAAAAGCAATGCAGGCAGGCTCGGCGCTCGGGCACACGAGGAGCGCTTGGCCAGCCCTGCCTCCTCCAGGCGCGGCGCTGCCCTGCTGTGTGCCTTGGTCCCGCCGGGCGTGAGTTCCAGGAACACACCCTCCCCTGTCCCGGTGCCAGCCCGACTCCAGGAGCCTTCAGGAGACGTGTCTGCAGCTCGGGACCTGCTCTAGCTGGAAGGGAATGTTAAGGCCTCCAGAAGACACGGCCAGACAAATAAAGGGTTTCTAGCTCCTGAGAAAAGCACAAACAGCCTCTTTAAAAATTATCCCACCACATCTTACTGACTTTGCATTTTTTCCGCACGAAAAGCCACGGTTCCGTCCCAAGGCGGTGTCTTCTAAGCCCACGCTCGTGAGGCTGCGAGCACCTGCATGCTCTTCTGCGCGCTGGACCCTCACTCCTCACTCCTCACGTTCACTTTGCTCCAGAAAGTTCCTTCTGTCCACAGCGGCTCAGGCCTTCCGTGCAGGTGAAACAGTGGAGCCTGACACTAGGTGGTGTCTTTCAGTGACTTTCTTTCTTTTTTCTTTTCCTTCTGCCCGGCCAGGAGAGCATGGCTGTTCTTTCTTCCCTCGTGCCGGGCTATCCCGACTTTGTTATAGCACCCACCAGCCAACGGTGGCCAGACAGTCACGCGTGTCCCCTCTGCTGCCCTCCAGGTGTCCCGTCCCCGGGTGCGACGGCCAGGGCCACATCACGGGCAAGTACGCATCCCACCGCAGCGCCTCCGGGTGCCCGTTGGCGGCCAAGAGGCAGAAGGACGGGTACCTGAATGGCTCCCAGTTCTCCTGGAAGTCGGTCAAGACGGAAGGCATGTCCTGCCCCACACCAGGGTGCGACGGCTCGGGCCACGTCAGCGGCAGCTTCCTCACACACCGCAGGTGAGGTCGCGTCCGCGCCCCTGGCTGGGGTGGTGCTGCGAGACCCGGCTGGCACGGCTGGTTACGACAGCAGCAGGTGTCAGCTTCTCCCATCACTGAGTGTAGAGAGAAAAGCCTGGAAACTATCAGACCAACCCAAGGCAATGCGAAGGTTTGGGGAGAGCGTTCACACATCTTACACGTCCATTAAGGAGCACAGACTCCTTCAACCCCGCCTATGGATTTCACAATAGCGTTCCACTTTTTATATTAGAATCCACAGCAAGATACAGATTTTCATTTCAGACACACACACGAATATCTTTGGTTATTTATGCCACCCGAAGTTCACATGCAGCCCTCTCTGGGGAAAAGGATGGCATCTGGCCCGGTGGCCTCCTGGTGAATGTCTGTGCCAACGGTGCGTGAGAGAACTTCCGAAAGACCCGCTCAACCGCATTCAGTTTTCTTTGCTTCGTTTAAAAAGAAGTCAGTGCAGTTACAGTGTCTCAGAAGAGGTTGGTTCTGTGCAGTCGGGCCCTCCAGCGGGAGGGGGACCCGGGTTGGGACGGGTCTCAAGGCTGACGGCACCCATTCCACTGGGCGTCCCTCGGCTTCCTTGAAGAGGCGGAAGGGCAGGTCGATGCGTCTCACGCACCGTGCGAAGGCCAAGCCCTTCAGGGAGGTTTACGATGGTTTCCTTTCTGCTGCCCTGTATGCCACTTTCTATGAAAACCACACGTGCGCCTCAAATCCATCTCAGTCCCCGAATGAACAAACGTGGGTACGAAGATTACAGAAATAATGGCATGTTCAGAAATAGGTGACCCTGACCACTGAAAAATGTTAAGGAAGATTTTTTTTAATTATTAAAGAAATTCCTGCTCAGGCACAAAATTCAAACAATATAAACAATATAAATGGGTTTAAAGAGAAAAATTGGCTGGGCGCAGTGGCTCATACCTATAATCCCAGCATTTTGGGAGGCCAAGGCAGCCAGATCACCTGAGGTCAAGAGTTGGAGACCAGCCTGGCCAACATGGTGAAGCCCTGTCTCTACTAAAAATACAAAAGTTAGCCGAGCATGCGCCTGTAATCCCAGGTACTCAGGAAGCCGAGGCAGGAGAATCGCCTGAACCCAGGAGGCAGAGGTTACATGAGTAGAGAACCTGCCATTGTACTGCAGCCTGAGGGACAGAGCGAGACTCCCTCTCGTAGAAGAAAACAAAAAAGAGAGAAACAAATTGAGTGTCCTTTCCCCAACCTCATCTCTCAGCTCCCTTCTCAAAGGCAGGCAGTTCCTGTCTTCTCTGGAACTGAATAGCACCCCTGTTTATACACACAGGTCTCAGTGTCTCCCCGAACGCTGCATAAGGTCAGGGTGTGGGCTGCTCACCTGGACCGCCCAGGGCTCAACAGGTGGGGCATTCCCCGCTAGGTGCACAGAGTCCCACAGTGTCACGGAGCCGCCTCCCCCTCCACAGTGAGCCTGCTCCTGTGCCTGCCGCCCTGTATCCTGTCCAGGCTGGATTGTTACGAAGAACTCCACATGGGCTTCCTCCCGCACACAACTCCACGTCCTTATGCAAGCAGACCTTCAGGGTCTACTCCTGGAAACAAGAATGCTAGCTTTAAAATGTTAACAGATCCTGCCAAAATGCCCTCCAAAAGAGTATCTACTTTCCCAAACCTTTCGCCATTCATAAAATGTTTAAAAACATTAAAAACCCTGCCCATCTGGCCTATGAGGAAGAGCTTGTATGTTTTGCTAATATGACACAAACGGAAGCAATTTCATCCTCTGGAGTGGGCGTTTCTGCTCTCCATGGACGGCACTGGTGCAGGGCTGCCTCTGCAGCGCCTGCTGCTTCCTCCTCTTCTGCTGAGACTTTGCCCATTTGACTTAAGCAGCAAATACCAGGTGCCAGATGGGTGCCGTTCCCTCCCACTGCCCAGCCTCTGGGTGAATTGCACGTTAGGGTCAGGAAGACAGCTGCCACCAAGAGCTCTGTCCCGACGCTTGTTCCGTGGGGGAGGGCTGAGAGCTCAGGAGCCACTGAGGTGGGCAGCAGAACCCAGCCCCACAGCGCCCCTTCCCAAATGCCCAGCATGCATTTCTGCTGCTAGGACCTCACCCACACACCTCTGTTCACTCTCTTACCAGCCTCACCTCAATTTCTGCCCTTCCCTGTTTCTTTTCTCCAAAGGGGAACCTCTTCCCCAGGGTCCATGGCAGAGAGTGGAGAGTGTTCAAATTCATGTGCTGGCCTCAGCAAGCTGATGGAATATTAGGGTAGGAGCTAATGGAATACTGGGTTGGAATTTGGGGGCAGGTTGATGGAATCTTGGGGTATCAGCTGATGGAATCTTGGAGCAGTACCTGGGCTGCGGGCTGATTGAACTTGGGGCACAGGCTGATGGAATCTTGGGGCACAGGCTAATGAAATATTGGGGTGCCGGCTGATGGAATCTTGGGGCAGGTTGATGGAATTCTGGGACACAGGCTGATGGAATCTTGGGGCACAGATGGATGGAATCTTAGGGTGCAGACTGATGGAATCTCAGGGCAAAGAATGTTGGGATCTCGGGGCGCAGGCAGATGGAATCCTGGGGCACAGACAGAAGGAATCCTGAAGTACCGGCTGACAAAATCCTGGGGTACAGGCCAATGGAATCTTGGGGCACAGGCAAACGGAATCCAGGGGCACAGGCAGATGGTATCCTGGGGCACAGGCTGATGGAATCTTGGGGCACAGGCTGGTGGAATCTTGGGGCACAGGCCACATTAGTGAGTAAAACCACAGCTTACAGGCTCACGTTACTCAGATACTTTGCACTGCCAGAAGCTCCTTTCTCTAGAAAGCTGCACGCCTCTACTTCACTCCCACCTGGTTCCACCCTGCCTCCCCGTGCCCCAGAGCTCAGCAGGCTCCTCTTTCAGGATCCCAGGTCCCTGGAGGGCCCACAGAAGTCCAGGTATGATGGAAATGACCCCAGCCACCTGTGCCCCACCCAGCCTGCAGGGCCACAGCTTGATGGGAGAGGCCCCAGGCTCCAGCCCCGGGTGTGAGAATTCTCGCGCGGGGTGTGGGGATGGAGACATCAGTGTACCAGGGGCAGCTCCTTCTAGAGCCCTGCCTCGGGCTGGCAGAGCTGCCAGAAATGTTGACGCTCCTCCATGTTACGGAAAGGCGCCGTCAGAACTCTGAACTGCTGGCTTTGGTGACCTCCGAGCAGAAAAGGGACCTCCCTGTATGTCACAAGGGCATGATTTCCCAGTGACCAGCACCCCTGTTTGTGCAGCAAAGGAAAAATCAGGGCAGCGGCAGAGGGGAAAAGGGGTTGTCCGGGCCTGAGCACGGCGGACCTGGGTTCTGTTCTGTTCTGTTTTTGCAGTTGTGGTAAAATATTCATATATGGCATGGGACTGACCATCTCACCCATCCTGAGGTACATGGTTCAGTAGTGTTAGGTATACAGATGGACCCCAACTTATAATTTTCAGATTTTACAATGGTGCAAGAGCAAAACACATTTAGTAGAAACAGCGCTTTGAATATGCATGCAACCAGTCTTCCTCACTTTCAGCCATACTCAATAAATGACATGAGCTGTTCAACACTTGAGTGTAACTGGGCCTTGTGTAAGTCACCTTTGCCCAACTGTAGCTGATGTAAGTGTTCCAAGTGCATTTAAGGTGGGCTAAGCTGAGCTATGATGTTGAGTCAGTACAAGTATTAAATGCATTTTTGACAAAATATTTTCAATATACAGTATTTTCAACTTAAGATGGCTTTATGGGGATGCTGACCCACGGTATGTCGCGGGGCACCTGTATTCACATTGTTGTGAAACTGATCTCCAACCCTTTCATCTCTGTCGAGACCCGGTCTCCGTTCAACACTGACTCCCCCATCCTCCCCTGCCTAGCCTCTGGCACCCACACTATGCTTCCTGCCTCTGTGAATCGGACTCTTCCAGGGACCCCTATCGGTAGAATCACACGGGGTTTGTTTTTTGTGTCCATCTTATTTCACGGAGCCCCATGTCCTCAAGGTTGTAGCATGTGTCCGATCTTCCTTCCCTTTTAAGACTGAATAATATTCCAACATGTGTTGACCGTGGTTTTTATCTGTTGAACAAGTCTTCATCAATTTTATTAGATAGAAAAAATATTATTTTCTGAAAGTGTAAAAATATTAGTACTGGCAAGAACACAGCTGAGCATATGGAAATACACTCAGTAGAAAGTCTCAGACAGTTCTCTTTCCTTGGAAACCCTGGGCTGGCCCAGACTGCCGGGACTGCCTGCTGATTTTGCCAGACCTTCCAGGACCTGGGTTGGCAGCAGCCTCCCACAAAGCCCCCGCAGGCACATCGAGATTGGAGTTGGGGGGGGTCCCTGTGCATCCGACCCACTGTGCAAACAAAGCAGCAGTAAGAAGCAGCAGCAAAAACAGATCAAAACAAAAGTTGCTTCTTTTCTTTCCTTTTTCCCCCAAACTGTGACAGTGTAGTCAGAGGATAAAGAGCTGTTTTCAAGCAGGTGCCAAGACATAAACAGTAGAGGAAGCAGGAACCAATGTCCACGGTTTGGGGCCCGGCTCACATGCCCAGCCCACTCCCAGTCCCAGGTCCTGGGCACCCACCGCATTTCCTGTGAAATCACTCCCACGTAGTGAGTCCTGGCACAGTCCCTGTTCGTTATGCATTTAAGGTTAGGCAGGAGGGCTCCTTTCCCGGATCCTGTTCCCTGAGCTAAGTCATATCTGAAAAAAGCAGAGCTGATATCAGAGAAATAGAAAGTGGTTTATCTTTAGGGTTTGCCAGGTCTTTCTAGAAAAGCCACGTCTAAGATTAAAAGTCAAGACCCCATCCCGGCTCCTGGGCACGTGTATACATGGTGCCATGACCTTTGGGGCGGATGCCATGTTGTGATTGTAAAAGCGGCCATGACGAGACCCTCAGGTCAGGCATAAAGGCAAATCCCTCCCGAAATGAGGGGAAAACTGGAGGCGCAT